TATGGCTCATACCACATGTGAACTAGTATGGTTGAAGAACCTCTACAAGAGATGGGGTTCTCGGTTGACAAACCCATGAGACTATACTGTGATAACCAGGTTGTTGTTCACATCTCTTCCAACCCAGTCTTCCATGAGAGAACCAAGCATATTGAGGTCGATTGTCACTTTGTGAGAGGGAAAGTGATAAGTGGAGTGATAACCACATCTCATGTGAGCTCAGGAAATCAGTGGGCAGATCTCTTTACAAAGGGATTATCTTGGGGCAGAGTAGATTATATTTGTGACAAACTAGGACTATATGACATATACTCTCTAGCTTGAGGGGGAGTGTTAGAATACACAAATCAGAGGTATTTTGGTCATTTGGGTTTATTTATTTGAGAGTGAAAGGTCTATTTTATTTAAGTTTAAGTTATGTGTTCCATCACTTATGAGGGACAATATGGTCTTTCTTGTAACTATGTTATTGGAGATAAATACAAGTGGGTTGGCTAGAGGTGGACTGATTTTTCCTAATCTGGCTGAACCCTTCTTCTCCACCTTCTTCTCTTCTTCTCTACTTTAACCTAGAATCGAATAGGGATTTTACAGTTCTACCACCCCATTTACGGTGTTGGTAATGTTGACAAAGCGTCTCTTTCTTTGTCTTTTGTTTTATATGTACCCAAGTTTCCTTTTAATCTTATATTTGTTAGTCGACTAACCAAATCCCTCAATTGTTCTATCATGTTTTACCCTTCTTCTTGTGTTTTTCAAGATCTCAAGACGGGGAGGAAGGTTGGTGGAGGGCATGAAGCTGGTGGGTTGTATTACCTTGACGGTGGTGGTTCTACAGTTGCTCTTCAAATTTCTTTGACTCCTCTCCATTGGCATTGTAGACTCATCCATCCATCTCTTAAAGCTCTCAAGTTACTTGTTCTATCATTGAGTTGTCTATCTTCTTTGCAGTGTGAGTCGTGTCAGTATGGGAAACACCATAGGGTTTCCTTCAATCCTAGAGTTGATAATCGCATGTTGAGTCCTTTTGATTTGGTTCATTCAAACATTTGGGGTCCAATTAGAATTGAGTCTTGTAATGGTTACAGGTATTTTGTTATTTTTGTTGATGATTGTTCAAGAATGACATGGATTTATTTAATGAAAGAAAGAAATGAATTATTTTCCATTTTCCATAAGTTTCATGCTAAAGTGTGTACACAATTTGGTGTTTCAATTAAAATTCTTCGTTCAAACAATGGCAGAGAGTATTTTCTTACTTCATTTCAGTAGTATTTGGAACAACATGGCATTATTCATCAAACATCCTATGCAAACACTCCTCGACAAAATGGAGTGGCTGAGAGGAAGAACCGACATCTACTTGAAACAACTCGGTCTCTTCTTCATCATATGAATGTTCCTAAACGTTTCTGGAGTGATGCAATACTTACTGCTTGTTTTCTCATTAATCGAATGCCCTCATTCATTCTTGATGGTCGTTCTCCGTTCTCTATTTTGTTTCCCACTTTGTATCCATATCCCTTAACTCCCAAGATCTTCAAGTGTGTGTGCTTTGTTCAGAATCTTGGTCCTGTTCTAGACAAGTTGGATGCACGCTCCATTAAGTGTATCTTTCTTGGCTACTCAAGGACTCAGAAAGGGTATAAATGCTATAATCCTATTACTCAAAAATCCTTTGTCTATCCTGATGTTACATTCTTTGAGTTTGTGTCGTACTTCTCAGGTCCTGATATTTCTCCTCCCAAAGAGGTTCCTCTTCCTCTTCCAATTGATAATCCCATTCCTGTTGTTCCCGTTGTGACTGAGTCTCCACCTTCCCCAATGCAGGAACTTACTGAAAGGCCACCAATCCGTCAAGTGTATACTCACCAACAGAGACCAGCACCTCCTCCAACTTCTACTTCGTTTGCAGATCTAGGTTCTTCCACACCCGAGTTGCCTTCTGACCTTAACCTTCCTATTGCATTATGGAAAGGTAAATGTAGTTGCACTTTGCACCCCATATCCAATTATGTTTCTATCTCTCACCTTTCCGCTTCCCATCGCGAGTTTGTTTCTCTGTTATCCTTTGTGTCTACACCTAAGGATGTTCAAGAGGCTCTTACCTCGCCAAGGTGGCGTAAAGCTATGGAAGAGGAACTCTCTGCCCTTCATCACAATCATACGTGGGAACTCACCAATCTTCCCCCAGGTAAGCATGTTGTTGGTTGTAAATGGGTGTATGTTATTAAATATCTACCAGATGGGAGAATGGAACGGCTGAAAATCCGTTTAATTGCCAAAGGGTATCTCAACTTTAGGGTGTAGATTATGTGGAAACCTTTTCTCCTGTTGCTAAGATTGGCTCAATACGTGTGTTGCTTTTCTTAGCAGTCATGCATGATTGGCCTTTGTTTCAGCTTGATATTAAAAATGCCTTCCTCCATGTTGATCTTCTAAAGGAAGTGTACATGGAGCAACCACCAAGGTTTGTTGCTCAGGGGAGGATGGTAAGGTGTGTAAGCTCAAGAAGGCAATCTACGAGCTCAAACAGTCTCCCGTGCTTGGTTTGGAAAATTTAGTGAAGTAGTGAAGGAGTTCGGAATGAAACAATGTCAAGTTGACCATTAGTATTTAGCTATGACTCTGAAGCTGGGAAGATATTGCTAGTACTTTCTGAGGATGGCATAGTCATCAATGGTAGTGATAGACTTGGGATTGATAGACTAAAGGCCTTTCTTCAAGATCACTTTCAGACAAAAGATCTTGGGAATTTGAAGTATTTCTTGGGTATAGAAGTTGCTATACCGAAGCAAGGCATAAACCTATGTCAGAGGAAATATGTTCTTGACCTATTGGAAGAAACAGGACTATTAGGTGCAAAACCAACCAAAACTCCCATGGAACCGAATGTGAAGTTGGGCAGTGATATAAGTGAGTTATTTGGTAATCTGGGAAGGTATACAAGGCTAGCGGGAAAACTGAATTACCTAACTATCACAAAGCCAATTTATGCAAAGCCCTTGAGTTCCCCATTGGGATGCAGTTCTTAGAATTGTTTGGTATTTGAAGGGGGCTCCAGGTCGTGGGTTACTGTACAATCTAGGAGGTGGTCTTGAAATAATTGGCTATACAGATGCAGATTGAGAAAGCCCAATATTGGACAGGAGATCCACTATAGGTTATTGCACCTTTCTTGGAGGAAATCTAGTGACATGGAAGAGCAAGAAGCAGACTATTGTAGCAAGGAACAGTGCAAAAGCATAATACAGGGCCATGGCACACACTACATGTGAACTAGTGTGGTTGAAAAATCTTTTGCAGGAAATTGGGTTCTCAATAAGAAAACCCATGAAGCTATACTATGACAACCAAGCTGCAACTCACATCTCATCCAATCCAGTCTTTTATGAGAGAACTAAGTACATAGAGGTAGATTGCCAATTTGTAAGGGAAAAAGTCCTCAATGGTGTCATAAGCACAGAGCATGTGAGAACAGGTGATCAGTGGACAGATCTGTTCACAAAAGGGTTGAATTCGAGAAGAGTGAGCTATATATGTAACAAGCTGGGACTAATATGATATATATTCTCCAGCTTGAGGGGAGTGTTAGAGTCAGCTAAGGAAGGGTATTTCAGTCTTTTCCGTTTTAGTATTATGTTAATTACATGTCCCATACTTAGTAGGGGCATAGTTGTCTTTGTACACTGATTTTGATATATAAATGTATGGTCGGCTGGGAGAGTCTCTTTGACTTCTCAGTTCGACACTCCTTTCTCCTCTCTTATTCTTCTTCTTCTCCCTCTCTCTTTCTCTCTTCTCTATCTCTGAAAACAGTTTGACTGAACTATTCTTACACCTTCCACCTAGCTTTGGCCCCAATTGGTAACCCCAAGTAAAAGGAAACTCTCCTATCAAGCAACCCATGGCCACTGCACAACCTTCCAAACCTCCTTCTCAATACCCCCTACACTAATCATCACGCTCTTACTCAAATAAATCTTCAAACCAAACAGCATCTCAAAAATCTTCAAAATTGCCCTTACCCTTAGAACATGTTGAACTGATGCATCAACTAAAATTAATGTGTCAACTGCTTCTCTTCCAACCCTAAAGCCGTTCAACAACCCAGCCTCCATCCCTTTGTTAATCAATTTGCTAAGTACCTCCACCACCAAAACGAAAAGGATCTCCTTGTCTCAAACCTATGGAAGAATCAAAGAACTTAGGAGACGCTCCATTAACAATACCAAGTATGAAACTGATGAAATGCATGCAGACATCCAACTCCACTTTTCTCCAAAATTCTTCTCATCACTTCTTCCAAAAAAAACACAAATTCTACATGATCATACGCCTTCTCCATATCAACTTTGCAAATTATCCCCGCTTGTCCACTTCTTATTCTTGCATCTACACACATCCTAGTTCTTTTTTTTGGATCTCAAAAAAAGAGGCCCAACTTGGGTACTCAGTACCATCTTTGTCTTCATGCAGGACACTTGTCAGGAACAAGGTGGTTCTCCCAGTAGACAGACTTATACATAATGCTGGTATTCTAGTTTTATTTTCTCTTGCCCTATTATAATAGGATAGGACTATTGTAGCCTAGTATATTATGTAAAATAATAAGGGTATTTTTGTAATTGCAAATAGCTATTTCTCTCTTAATAAAGTACACCTTTCAGAAGTGGGGGAACTCATTTATGGAACCCCAGGAGTAACAGTCACCTAGGATGACATGGTATCAGAGCTTCATACATGGATCAACTGGATGAACTGCAGCCTGTTTCTAGCTTCCAACCACAATCGCAGAAGAGGAAAGGAAAGAAAGAACAGATAAACTTATAAACCATTAATAAGACAAATACTATTGAAATGTGAGAAAAGGAAAAGAAGCATGAGAACTTACAAGTAGCTTATTGAATCTGAAAACTTCTGTCATATCATACCTTAAGCATATCAGAATAGCATATTATAGATTAGCCACAACTATGTGTACCAGATAAGAGTTTTACCTGAAGAAGGTAATTGCAGCCAGCCTCAACTGCTGTCGCAGACCAAGACTTCCCAATAGATCTTCTCACTAAAAATCTAGAAGCCCAGCTTGGAAACAAGCCAAACACTGCTGCAGTGGAGCTTACAAGAAAAGAAAAGATCTGGGAACTGAAAACCAAAAAGTTACTAAGCTTTATGAATTCCTTATTGATAGGAATCTTGCGAGAAATAAAAAGATAGACGGTAAGTGTTTATCAAAAATGATTTGATACATCTGCAACCAACAGAAAAATAAAATTAACTTTTGAGATAATCAGACATGCATAAGAGCATTTTATGTAGTTAGATTAATTGAGAAGCACATATTAAGGGTTATTTTTGTAATTTTAATATTCTTGTATTAAGGCATGATATCCAAGACAGATTCTCATCCCATTCATGCCAATTCCTCACATAAACACCATTATCACAAGATAGTGTCACTGGTTGGTATAACCGTATAAAAGCTCCCCTCACAATCATCCTGTGCTGACATGCTTCTTTAGACACTGCTGACATCGACAGCCATAAAGATGAAGTCAGCAGATGTACAGCCAACCTATAACTCATTACTCATCACAATCCCAGGCCCTGGTAAGTAAATGCATGATTTGGTGTTAGTCTCTATGTGTCTACACCTCAATAAAAAGGAGTAGAAAAGAGGAACAACCTAAATACCTTAGCACAATCAACTAAATATGAGTCCTCTACAGTAACTCCTGTCAAAAAACTCTTCTCCAAATTGAACTTCAAGTTAGATATTCTTTTAAACAGCTCCACCACATATCTCAAGTTCTGAACCTGCTGCATGTCATCCCCCTCGGAAAAAAACTATAATGTCATCAGCAAATTGGAGGTGGATGACTAACACCATATTCCTACCAATCCACCTCCCCTTTAATTAACTGCAAACTATCATCTCTTGTGAGTAGACTACTTGAAACATCAGCTATTAGGGTGAAGACGAGAGAGTAGAGGGTCTACCTATCTAAGACCCCTTAAAGTTGAAAAAAAAAATCTCCAGTCGCCTCATTGACTAGGATTGAGTAGTGGCACAAGGACAGACAACTTAAGATCCATTTACACCACTACCAAAACTGCAACTCCCTATAATCCCGTGTTTTAAAAGCACAAAGTGCAAAAACAGCACTAGGGCATTTTGCACCTGACGCACAGGGAAAAGCATGTGCCTTTTCAAAGCAAAGCACAAAAATGCAAAAAATGCAAAAAAGTCAAAAACAACTATAAAATAAAATATAAAACATAATATTAATTAAAAATATAAACTTATTTTAAAAACGACTATTATCTCAAATTAAAATGCATAAACATAACATGTAAAATACATTCAAAATGAAAAATTAAAAATAAAATCAAACATTTAAAACATATACAAGCATGCAAACTTTCAATCTCTTTATTTTTTTTTTCCAATAACATTACTTCAAATAGCTAATGTGATGTTAAATATTTTCATTCCTGATTCTATGGGCCACCTTTGTACCAAGCTCCTTGAGGCAAGCCCAAACAAGCTCATGTTAGGGTCTTAAGTTCTTTTTTTTTTTTTTTGATAAATATGTTAGGGTCTTAAATTCTCAATCCCTAGTTCCCTACAAAAAATGATTTTATAATTTTAATTGTCTTTTATAATATCTTTTATTATGATAAATGAATGAATAACATTAGCAAATAGGGGGTTCTTAGAGCCCCCTAACATGGACATGTTTGGGCTTGCCTCAAGGGACTTGATCAAGGGTCTGGGGGAGAAGCCCCAGGCCCATCCACTATGCCTAAAAAAGAGCAAAATGCACAAATTTTGAAAAGGCACATTCCTGGGCTGAAGCATAAGATGCACCAAACACACACCTTTTGAAAGTGTTGACCTAGGGCCTAAGCAAGGTGCATACCTTGAAATGTGCCTCGCCTGTGCACCTAGGTGTGCCTTTTAAATCATTGTTATAACCTCTAGGAGAGAAAAGCCCAATCCACTAAATCATATGCTTCCTCAATGTCTAACTTGCACGCCAAACCACCTCTGCCCGATTTCCTCATAAATTCCATGCATTCGTTTGTTATTGGGATCTTATCAGTAATTTGCCAATCTTGCACAAAGGCTCCTTAAAATTGTATGGTGATGGAGGGGAGAACTTTCTTGAGTCTTATAGATAAGACCTTAGCTCTAATTTTATAAACACTAGTAACTAGGCTAATAGGCCTAAAATCTCTTAGGTGGCAGACTTTTGGATTTTGGGGCACCAAGGTTATGAAAGTAGAGTTCATTCCTAGATTGATGATCCCTCTATCAAAAAATTAATTAAACAATTCTAGTAGATCATCTTTTGCTATATCCAAACAGTCTTGATAGAAAGCCATTGTGAAATCATTTGGTCCAAGGGCTTTAACCCTATCCACTGCAAAGACCACATGTTTTATTTCTTCCAACTCAAACCCCCTTTCTAAAAACTCCACCGACCTAATCTTGGTTAGATCAATCCAAGCCTCGCACCTAACATCTCCTACATAATGTCCTTCTATAAATGGATTTAAAGTGTTGTACAAAGACCCTAATCTTACACCACTAATCGAGTTTTGTTTATCGATAATCAAAAGAGAAAAGCTAGATTTGTTGCCGGTTTTGTATTTTAGGTGATTAAAGTTAAAAATCTCTAAAATATGGATCAATTTTAGTGTGTTTCTTGTAAAACCGTAAGTAAAAATTAGGGATTTGTGTTTTTTGGTTCAAATCTGAGGAATGAGATGTGATTTACACAACTAGAAGACCAAGACAAAGAACTTTTGAGAGTTCTTCATGCATAACGTGATTTGTCATAGTATCCGAACCACATCTAGGCAAAAACCAGGTATTGCCTACTCAATTTACTCATTTTATCTTTTAATCTTTGTTTTGTCAAGTCTAATATACATTAAATAATTGATTATTTCCCTATTTTTACATGTTTGAGAGTAAAATCAGTTGTTGGATGCCCTTTCAAGTTTGAAACATCCAACAAAGACAGCTTTGGGCAATCATAAGCATTGATGTGAAGTTCTAGATCTATTGAAGTGATTCTCTAAGACATCTGAGAAGCTAAACTCTAACATTATCTTATTTTAGTTTCAATTAACTGTTTTCAGTATTACAGCATCATTTGCTTTGTCTCAAGAATCAAGTAAAACTGACAAATGAATGGAACTAATTAACCAATGTGGAAATGTAGAATTAGAGGTATTCTGGAAAAGGAAATTGTTGATTTTATTTTAGACAAAACCTATTCCTACTATACAACCAATGATTCTCCGCTAACTATAGTACATAAATTTCAAAAGTGAGAGAAAATCAACAAGAAAGCTAAAACCAGTTTCCTAGAATTTATAGAACCAGATGTAGATGTTATTTTTGAGGATTATAAAAATGATAAAAATGTATTTGAAACTGTTAAGTAATTTTTGATAAGTAGAAGATCATTAAAATTCATTGAAAATCATAAAGATATGCATCGTTACAAGCATCCCACAGGGAGGCATGAGATGCAGCCTCACTGTTAGAACAGAACTAGTACAGAATTACACCAAATCATTGTATACTTAGATTCATTTTCTGTGTTAACCACTGAAACTTCTTCATTTCATTTCTACAACACCAAATCACTGAGTCCGGATCTCTCAACCAACCTACCACCACCTTGGAGTCCCCTTCAATTATCAGGTTCTCCAAGTTCAAGTCTTTGACAATCTGAACACCTTGTAACACTGCAAACAGTTCAGCCTTTAAAGAGTCCAATCCCCACCGGTCCTGAATAAAGTGTTAGTATGACCCCTTCTGTGTTCCTTATGACTCCTCCAATTCCCAAAGGACCTGGATTGCCTTGACTGCTCCCATCAAAGTTTAATTTCAGAAAACCTTCAAGAGGAGGTGTCCACACTGACCTTGGTACAAATATTAAATGAAAAACATTATACATGAACAATGAAAGAGGGAGAAACTAAAACTGATCACATTAATAAAATGAACAAAATACAAAGGAATTGCCTGCTACAAACCAACGTTTTAAAAAACGACCCGGAAACAGAACCGTTCTGGCCACCGGTTTCCGGGTCGACAGTCCAACCGTCCAGTTCGAACAGACGGCCCATTCTGACAGCAAAATTTAAAAAAAATAAAAATAACTAAAAAACGGTCAAAAACCATTGAACAGGTCGACGGGTCGATGGTTCGACCGCCCAAATCAACGGTTTGTTGACTTTTTCAACGGTTTTTTACCAGATTCCGGGTTTGGGGTAAAACAGAACCGGTTGCCTGGACGGTTCCCGGGCCGAACAGTCCGACCATCCGGGTCAACAGTGGTTCAAAAACTTTGCTACAAACAACCCTATTCTAGAGAAAATTCAGGTCTCTAAAATCTTACATAGCTTTCCAGATCATGGCAACCAGTAGTTATCACTTTAAACTTGTAGCAATTGATATGAAAATTTTGCCTACACTCTTAGGATTGGTAGATTAAAGAAGGAATAAGAAAATTTTAAGTAATCCTATAGTTGTGAGTTCTATCTTAGCTAAAACATCTAATGAACAAGAAAAGCTAAAAAACAAAAATTTCAAACCAAAGGAAAAAACTCAAAAAACAAGAAACTAAGTTCACAAGGAATTTTAAAAGGTAGGGAAATTGTTATGACTCATGAATGTGGTAAGCCTAGACAAACCAAATTCAATTGCCCTAAACTAAAGAATAATAAAATTTACAATAACAAAGATTATAATAATTCAGGAAGAAATTGTGTTGTTTCTGAATCCTTGCTTGCTGATGGTGATTCCATGAATTAGTGTTGAAGATTAATTAGTTTTATGATGTTTTTCTGAGTAGATGTTTTATGTTAGTTGTTAGATAGGAGGTGGGGACCACAGTAGTTATATGAGTCTAAATTTTATTATGTTTTTGAGTGTTATATATGCTGTTTTATGTTTTGCCGCACTATAAGGACATAGTTGTCTTTGTATTGTTCTATTGTTTTAGCATAAATAATAAGTGAAGGAGGCGGCTAGATTATTGCTCTCTTTTCTTTCCAACTTCTCTTCTTCTCCTTCTCTCTTCCTTCTCTCTTCAAGAAACTACTTTTCTTTTATATTTTTT